TGTATAAGAGACCCCCCCGGAACTCATGGTCGGGCTCGGGTCTGCCTACGTTATATGGCTGCTGCAGGCGGAGACTCGATGGGACCGGTTCGCGAAGGAGAAGGGCATCACGGGCAGCAAGCGATCGCGCATGGTGTGGGACGACGATCTGAAGGAGTGGAGGCCGCGTCACGGATTCAAGCGGGCCAACGACGGTGTCCTCAACCACGCCATCGTCGAGGTTAAGCCGGTGAGTAGATTACACACCCCCTGGACCGATTTTCAAATCTCGATTTTGTCAACAACAGAAAGAGTCACAGCGCCGAAAACGGTGGCGTTGAAGCTGTCTCGTCGAGAGCTTTCCGAAAATATATTGTTTCGTCTATACATCCTCTTCGTCGTGGAGTAATCAAGCTTTGAAAATCGCTCCAGGGGGTGTGTTATCTTGTGTCATATACTGTATGAGTCTAACCCTAACCTTACCCCCCGCCCGGTGAGTAGCCGGCAAGTGTGTGTTGAGAGGGACTGCCTATGCGAAGAGATTTTGTTGTTTATACATGCATGGTACGAAATTTCACGGATGCCATACTTTACTCTATTTGTTTGCTTAATTATCTGTGTAGCGTGGTAGCTGAGAGAAACCACCCTTCCGCCTAGTGTTTCTCCTCTCTCTCTCTCACGCTTCCAGTATGTGATTCTACTCTCTCATCCTCTTTTTCTATGTTTTTCCCCTCTCATCCTCCCTTTCTGTCTTCCTATTAGGCTTGTGTACTCTCTCTCGCCCTTTTAGTGCATATCTTCTGTTGCCCTCCCATTTAGTGCTTATCTTCTCTTGTCCTCTTTCTTTGTCTTTCGTTACGTGTGGGTCCTCTCTCATCCTCTCTTTATGTGTTTACCCCGAGTGTGGATTGTTCAGGGGGACTGCTGCACGAGGAATCTCAGTTTATCTATGATATAGAGAGGCAGGGGTGACGTAGACCCTAAGCCTAATCGCTGAAATTCCACAGATTGCATACTTTATCCGATCCGGTCGACCCCGCTTTCAAGACGCAAATGGTCTTTTTTTGTTTTTGAAAGTATCTTTAACGGAAGTGTCTCTGAGATTGCGGGGGTGATAATCCACCGTCCTCGGGTTAACGAAGGCTTAGCATATATGAGAAGCCGCGCAATGGCAGTAGGGACACTACTGTAGCACGAAACGAAAACATGGTAAACGTTACTGACGATCGCAACGTAGTGACGGTTGAAAGGCGCACCACGTCGTTCGCTGTTGAATCTTACCATTGCAACACCCCACCCAACGTCATACTTCCAACAGGGGGTATTTTGCTGCAGGACGAGGTACATATCTTGTGACAACGGTGCACTGTTGTGTTGTTGGCTTTGTCGTCCATTGTTTCGGCGTCGTCCCCACGTTGAAAACCGTGCCTAGATGCCGTTCTGTACAGGGTGTGCTGCAGCATCATTTTGGGAGTCCTGTATGGTGTAAAGCCTACCCCCCCCCCCCCCCCCCCCCCCCCCCCCCCCCCCCCCCCCCCCCCCCNCCCCCCCCCGCCTTACTGTATGTCTGCCGGGCACCCTGCTTATGATCTTTTTTGTGTCCTTAAAGCGGGGAATTGACTCAACATTGAGGGCTTCAAAGCTAGGACTGCTGTATGTTTGCAAGACCTGCCTAGGCTACTATGGTGTTATTGTTAGGAGAAACCCCCCTTACGGTAGTGTTTATCCTCTTTCACCCTTCCACTCTGTGTTCATCCTCCCTCCGCCCTTGCTTGTTTGTTGTGCTTATGCTTTCTCACCCTTCCATTAAGTGATTGTCCTCTCTCCTCTCATTTTGTCTTCTATTTAGTGGTGTCTTCTCACATCCTCTCTTTTGTGTTTATCCCATGTCACCCTTCCATTTAGTGTTTATCGTATCTAACCTTTGCGCGGTAATCCTCCGCTATTCTTCCCTCCACGCCCCAACCCCAACCCCAACCCGTCTGACAACACAGGGCAAGGACCCCATGGCTAACCCGTGGTCCGAGGCTCGTGCGGAGAAGAAGGGACGGGTGGAGAAAAACCTTGGCAACAGGTCAGTCTGTGCATGTAGGCAGAGAGAGAGGGACAGGCAGACTGACAGACAGACGCAGCGAAGCAAAGGCAGAGAGAGGAGCGTTCCTGCTGTGCGCAAGAGGTCCGTTGTACGTAACTCTATTTGTCTGTGCATATGGAGAGGGAGACAGACAGACAGGCGGAGACTTTTCCTGTGCACGAGAGATCAGTTGCGAGTACGTCATTTTGTCATTTGAAAACCGTCGATCGCGCCCGGGTGAAAATGGCGATCCTTATCTCAGCGATGATTGTTTCGACTGCCGATTCAAGGTCTATTTTTCCTGACGCCTGCCATGTCTGCTTCAAAACCCTTTTGGGCAAAAGAGGTAAATCGCACATCGTGAAAAAGGCGATGGTTATCTGGTTATATCGACTATGATTGTTTCGAGGGCCGTCTCGAGGTCTCTTTTTCCTGACGCCTGCCTGCCATGTCTGCTTGAAACCCCTGCAGAGCGAAAAACGTTGAGCGTGCCGGAGGAGGAGCAAAGCCTGGTATCCCGGTGGACCTCCTCCCTGGGGCTAAAGACGTGTCAGGAGGGGGCGGGGCTCCCGCGAAGCGAGGGAAGGCGAACACGAAGGCGGCGCTGGAGTTGGTACAGCAGTCGACGGCTTCGATGGGGAAGTGAGTCGGAGGTGTTGGTGCGTTTAGTTGGTGTAGTTGTGGTTGCTGTTGAAGGCGTTTTTGTTTGTCGTTTGTGGTGGGTGAAGTTGATGTTGTTGGTGTTGGTAGTTGATGACGATGCTGCTGCTGCTGCTGCTGCTGCTGCTGCTTGGTGGTCTTGGTGGTGGCGAGCTTGTGGTGGATCTGTTCGTCCGTGCCCGCGACTGCGATAGGTATCGATACAAGCGTGCGTATTGATGGCACCGGTCAGTTGTCGCCGCTCCCTTAGTTGATTCGTTTTTACGTAGCATGACGACGACGTCGTCGATCTCTCCCATCCTCCCCTACGTCCTGACCCGCCCCCCCCTCCTCCCAGGTTCGACGAGAAGCGGCACGCAGAGCCGGATCGAAGGAAAGGGAAGGGCGTGCGGCGGGCGTTCAAGCCGGTCACGGTCGGCGCTGGGGAGGAGACACAGGGCCATCTTAAGATCCTTAACTCGGTTAGTGACCGTTTGCGCCGCGGCCCTAGCCCCACGCACAGTGTAAACCTGCGGTAAACTCTATGTAGGTCAATAGGATCCTGTGCTCAACGGTGGCGATGAAATATGGTCTCGACTGGAGTTTGACGGTTCTTGGTTGCGTTCATGATCAAGTATCTCGGGGAAGGGTTCAGCAGCCTCCTCCTTCCGGTGCAATGCGCTGAATGTGTGCGTTTTTATCATGTTTTTTCGTTTACATCCAAAACAGGGGAGTCCAGCAGTCCTCTCCCTCGCTGTTGTGCGCAGCAGCTCTTCACCGGTGCAATCTCGTCGTTTAAGAGGCATTTACTCATCATGTTTTCGCATATTCCCAACTCAGGTGACGATCGAGAGCGATCAACAAGGACAACTCCCGTTGTTGCCCATAGCTTGTCATCTCGTGCATCACATTGTTTTTTTTTGTGGTTCTTGCATATCCAACTCAGGTGATGATCGGCAAGTCCAAGAGTGCCGACAAGGACGGTACCGCTCGCAGCGCCAAGGAGTCCCTGGCGGCGTACGACGCGATTGAGGGACCCCGCGACACCGGTGCGAAGCGCAAGAAGGGCAAGGGCGCCTCGGGGAAGGCCAAGAAGGTCACCAAGGGCAGGGCTAAGTAATGAAAAGCGAACTACGCAAGGCGGCACAGAGTTAGTTTGACCAAATCAGAAAGCCGCTGCGTGCCACCTTTCCTTTTCTCTGCGAGATTTTTTGCCAATGAGAAATCTTTTTCCTGGGGGGTATTTTTATTTTTTTTCTCCCATCATTGGACTCTGTCGTCTGCCCCACTGGCCCCTATCCTCCACGTCTACCCCGCTAGACGACCCAACCGGGGTCACACAGGAGGGGGGGGTTGGACCCCCTCCTGCGGTTCCTGCCTGAGGTATTTTTATCGCGAGAAGGGTACAGCAATCCCTTCCCTCCCGACTTACGAAGTCGATTATGGTTTTCTAACAACGAGCTTTGCAGCGCGTCGCTTGTATCCTAGGCCACGATTCATTTAGTGAGAAAAATGTGTTTATGGGCGAGATTCTCCTGGGGTGCGAGTTACCGGAAGAGGGAAGCTGGGCGGAGGGAGCGGGGGGACCCAGCAGAAGCAAGCTTTCAAACAAGCCTGTGTACAGGATCCGGAAGTGACTGGGGGACCTGAGGTTCGTTGCCATGTCGATGAATGCTGCGTCTATGCTGTAGCACCGGGCGACGCGAGGGGGTCTTGTGGTTAAGAGGGCGATTTATCTTGAGGCTTAGTGGTGTGACCTGTCTTGAGGCTTAGTGGTATAACCTTGTTCTTCGGTCAACAACCAACCACTCTCGAGTGTGGCTTGGGTGGCACCTTCGCAGGCCACGGGCGGCGCGTGCTCTGGAGGTGGGGGGGGGCGGAGGGCGGCGCACTCACGTTTTGCATGCCTTACGAGTGAGACCATTGGCTAGACGTCTTCGAGAGGAAACGGAGCATTGTTCCCACAAGACCGGTCACCGCTGGCCAATCATTCCTTCCTATTTTGCCAAAGGCGGCTCAAAAAGATGTTTCTATGCTTGAGGGGGGAGGGAGGAGCGGGGGCATGCAGCACGCTCTCCTTTTCTCCCTGTCGTTGCCTTTGGTCCATTGGCTGAGTAAGCGCTACAGCTTGGGATGATGTGTCGTCCGGGGTTGGGGGTTGTTGGGGGCGAGGTGGCGGTTTCTGGCTTTCAGGCCCGCTTAAGGCATCAGCAATGAGTGAAGAACAGCAAGAGGCGTTTTTCTCCTTGCCCGAATCCATTCCCAAGATATTTTTGCGCACATGATGATGTTCCCAAAAGTATAGTCGGACCACACGGCTGTAACCAAAACCTACTCAACTCGTACGAATTGTGGAGTGAATGCGTGTTGTGTCGAAACCGCTCTGTTTGTACGGCGAGATTCTCCTGGTAGGGGTGGAAGTCAAGAGGGTCGGGGCGATTGGGGTCTGGTTTGAACAGCTGTCCGTGTCTGTGGTATGTTTTGGTTCGGTTACCCTGGTTTTGACAAACGACAAGTTCACGTTGGCTCTCGTTTCTTCTTCCGTGTAGCAGAGGGTTGGCGGCTTGAATACTCCTGGACCTCTGTGGCGAAACATGACTGAGTGACTTATCCACGACAAGGAAGACAGCTACACAGAGCACTCCAACCACTAGTATACCATCGTCCGTCCGTCTGCGCACTAGACGAGTGCCGGTTTCGTCCTGCATTCACTGCTCCATCACGGTTGCATCACCAGCAGTCCGCGAGCCCCCCCCCCCCCACCTCGCCCTCTGGTTGGCATCGGTCCGTGATCGGTCCTGTGGCAGCAGCATGCTCCGTCCTCTCGAGGACGCGTCGTCAACTACGTAAGGCACGCAAAGCATGATCGCGCTCCCCTTCCCCGCGTCGCCTCGGCTTTGGTGTATCCTGGTGCCCATTAGTGTCAATATTGTACCAGATCTTGGCTGCTCATCCTTCCGCCCCCCTCATTCACACATTAATTGCGCGCAAGAGATAAAACCAAGCAAGAAAATGCAGATGTTCACTGGCCATCCATCGCTCGTGCTTTATTACAAGGTGAAGGATCCTGCAGTAGGGATAGACTACATGTTATCGGCGCGAGAAGTAGTGTAGTCTAGACTAGACTACCACGTACATATCATATTTAGGGGGGGTAATCGAGAAGGTAAACGGCGGGGAAATAAATGGGAATTCCCTCCATGCTTTTCTTTTTTGTTCTCCCATCATTGGATTCTGTCGTCTGCCCCTCTGGCCCCTATCCTCCATTTCTACCCCGNCCCCCCACACCTCGCCCTCTGGTTGGCATCGGTCCGTGATCGGTCCTGTGGCAGCAGCATGCTCCGTCCTCTCGAGGACGCGTCGTCAACTACGTAAGGCACGCAAAGCATGATCGCGCTCCCCTTCCCCGCGTCGCCTCGGCTTTGGTGTATCCTGGTGCCCATTAGTGTCAATATTGTACCAGATCTTGGCTGCTCATCCTTCCGCCCCCCTCATTCACACATTAATTGCGCGCAAGAGATAAAACCAAGCAAGAAAATGCAGATGTTCACTGGCCATCCATCGCTCGTGCTTTATTACAAGGTGAAGGATCCTGCAGTAGGGATAGACTACATGTTATCGGCGCGAGAAGTAGTGTAGTCTAGACTAGACTACCACGTACATATCATATTTAGGGGGGGTAATCGAGAAGGTAAACGGCGGGGAAATAAATGGGAATTCCCTCCATGCTTTTCTTTTTTGTTCTCCCATCATTGGATTCTGTCGTCTGCCCCTCTGGCCCCTATCCTCCATTTCTACCCCGCTAGACGACCCAACCGGGGTCACATAGGAGCGGGGGGTTGGACCCCCTCCTGCGGTTCCTGCCTGAGATATTTTTATCGCGAGAAGGGTACAGCAATCCCTTCCCTCGCGACTTATGAAGTCGATCAAGTTTTCTAACAACGTTGTGTGCGTCGCTTCCAGCGAAGACCAGGATTTAATTATCGAGAAAAAACTCACTCACTCTAGCGGGACTCGAACCCATGACGTGGGCCTTAGCAGGCTGCGAGGCTACCCGCTAGACCACCGGGCGGGGCGACCGGCGGTACGCCCTACCTCGGTCCTAACCCGCTACTTTGTTTCATCGTTTACCGTGCAGGACCCAAAAACTGCTGTAGGTATTGTTGCTATCCTATACACAAGGCTGTGTGTTGTCATGGGCGCTGGCTCATCTGCTGTGAAGAAGAAGCTGGAATAAAAAGTGGAAGCAACACAGCAGTGCCAAACGTTTTCGAAAAAAAGCTCCCCCTCGAAGATTAAGATTGTATGTGCCCCCGACGTATGTACTCCTTACACAACTGCGGTGCCCCCGACCACCCCGCTGCAACTAAGGCAGGTTGGAGTGCTGCCGACCATCGACACGCCACTTGGCTTTGACGACGGTAGAGGCGCTGCTGTCGTGGACCTTCCCCTCCTCTCGCGCAAAAGGGAGCTCTGCATGAGGCCTGCGTTGGTTTGGCCGTGAGCACTCCGCGCAGGTGAACATCGGAGTGCTGCTCTGCCGGATACGGGTGCTGCAGCTGCTGGCAAGGGCGTTGAACTCGCAGAGCAGGGCAATAGCGCACGGCACCAAACCGGTCGTATCATGGTAAGACTAATGCATCGACCACAGTCCCCCTTCTACTATGGTTGCCTTCCCGGGCGGATTTCTCAGGGATCCATGCGGGGTTTGCCGGACAACAATTGCTTGCTAATAGCGCATGGACGAACGCTTTGCTTTTGGAAAGACATTATCGAACGTACAGGTGGATCTACACAGCGGACACATGAGAGACGTATGCGTGTTTTCCAAGTATGTATGCGTATGCGACAAGAGAAATGCATTACCCTTTGAGCGAAGAACTCCTCGGTGCGAACATTCTCGAGTCGTGACTCGTCAGCAGAGACTTGCATGTACACCGTATTTATCTCTTGTATTGATGGGTCGGCTTTCTGCTCTCAAGTGCAACAGTCATTGGATTATTCTCGAAGCTTGGCAACGCCCTCTCTTGCGCACAAAACGTGCGCGGTCTCGATATGCGTGAGACAGCCAAGAGTTGGAGCGCGATGAGTTCGTTATATAGTTCTTGAGTGCACGGAACATATTCGATCTTTTCCTACCCTCTAGTACCATGTACGTTCGGTCGCTCACCGGTAATCCTGCAGTTATTTGCCACGCTCTCAACCCTTACATTTCAACCTAAAGAGCTCCTATTGGCTCACAGAGACCAATTTCGCAGGGCAGTGTATATATAGCATAGCCTTCACACACCCTTTTGCATGTAGGCTTGTGTCCGGTAGAGGTGTTTTTATTTGCGATTTTGATACGCATACATTAGTTGTGCGTGTTATGGGTGCGATCGTATATTAAATTATTCCTATCTTGGTCTTTTATCGCACCCCGGTGCCACCCCCCCCCCCCCGGTGT